ATTCTGTTGTGACCGTGTGCCGCATTTCAGTATTCTGCAGTTTACGTTCTGGATCGTGGTTAACGAGCAGAGATGCCATACAAAACACCATGGCCCACATTTCTCGCTTCTACCGTGTTTCAACGACTGCAGAGTCATGCCTTGGTACTGCCCACTGACAAGAGATTTACTGAACGTTTTTCGTCCTTGAGGCTACACGAGTTGAGCCCAGGGTTATCGCCGACCTATGAAGTAACTCTTCGTGACGTATAATCGGGTGAGCAGGGCAATGAGGTACTTACCAGCTTGCTGAATCCCCTCCCTCAAAGAAGAACACACACGAGAACCAAACATCTCGTGTTTAATTTAACTTTTCACATCGAATTTTTGGTTTTGCAATCCCAAGTGTGATCTATCGCCTTTTAAACATATAGTTAGGCACAACCTTAGTTTAACAACTGAAGCCACTGCATTTGATATTAGTTTACTAAAGTGATTTAAGCCTTTAGGGAAGATATAATAATTTTCTACTTTTCTTCTGAATGTCTGACTACCAACACAGACACCGCCCTGTCCATACGAACCAGACAATTATGTTGGATTTATCGCAGACAGACTTAATCAGAGTCCTTCTTTAAACTCTGACAGACATTAAGATAGATTCCCCGCCTTATACGCGACCAGAAAATTCTTTATCGCTTTCGCAAAAGCCCGATATTGGTCCCTAACTGGAGCCAGACAAATCCAATCCATACCCTCCTATCTTATTGTCTTAAGATTCATTTCAATATTATCCTACATAATATATTCTGTCTAGGTCTTCCGACTGATCTTCATAGCTCACTCATTGTGTTCTTCGATGATTTAAACCATGCCCTCGAACATCACGAATCAATCGTGTCCCCTCATTGATTTTCTTGTGATTGTATTTGTCTTCCATTCCTCGTCGTCTTCCTTAATATACTGTTTGACCCTGTCAATGCTGACTCAGGCGGAAATTAGATGAGTGTAAATCGGGCGCTAGAAATTTATCGGTTGAAACGCATTTGTTAAAACGCTATATTATTGAGGATTAAATCCTTATATATTTTTAAAATATTCACATACTTCCCATCCCCAATGTTCATCCTTGCTTCCAAGGACAAAGCCTTTCTCGTGACTAAAATATTATAGTATGAAACAACTAATTTGTCCTCTCAAGGTCATTCGATATTTTACTTGATTTCCCTCTTTTCCCTGTAAATTATTCAGACTAAAGAAACGACTACAAAACTTAATATACGTGTTTCATCCAATAGTGCTGCACTTTGGAAGCCAAATATTCGGATGAGGAAATGAGATTATGATGGAGGAGACAAATTTAGAAAATATTTTGGGGGGAAAACTATATATAAAACGTCCACTTGGACGATCAAATATAGACAGATGAGAGGCGCACAAAATTTTGGTAACAAATTCTGAACGGAAGAGGTCACTAGGAAGACTTAAGCGTAGATAACACGATGATATTAAGATGGATGTCTGGTAAATAGGGTTGAAGGTGTTGAATTGGATTCATCTCACTCAGGACAGGGTCAGATATCAATGATTCTTCAGGTTCATAAAAGGCTATGAATTTTTTGACTAGATGAGTTTAATGTTAGCTTTCACGAAGGGCACTGTTTCGTGGAGTTACTCAGGAGATAATAATCAAAATGACGGGGTACAGTTTAGTGCGGGTCTGCGAAAGATCAAAGTGTGGTAGGAGACGATAAGAGTTCAGCTGCTCCATACATAAGACGAACTCAACAGTCTAACAGGAGCACTACATTTCTGTAGACCAGGATACAGAGTAGTAGCGAGGCTCCAAAATCAGAACAAAAGTGGTCTGAGAGACCTCGAGTAAAAAGCAGAAAAGTTAATCAAAGCATCGAATTAGTATAGCTTCCCCCTTTCTTGTTTTGTTTTCTTCGTCAAAACCTCAACATCCATCAAAACTGCCGCTAGGGTACGTGGCTGGCTTAAGACGTGTTTCTCACATCCTCACTTCCTGTTTTCTTTTATTCTTTACTTCGGGCTCGCAAACCACCCTCGCCCTTGCCCATATATTCAACATCAGGGCTTTTTTATCTCACTTTTCCTTTTTCCCTTATCGTCTGTTACTTCGCGTCGTTGGAAAGTGTAAAGCGAAAAATGAAAGCTGCGAAATATGAACCACTTTTCTGCCCCATCAGTGCGCACCGTTCCAGGAAATTCAAAATCATTCATATTTGCTTTATGGAAACTCCCAAGTTACTTAAGTAGGATGGGGGCAGCCTTCATACCCTTCACAAGCCATATATGTATTCTAGTAGGAAAAAAAAACACGAGCCAATAACATATTGAATTTTTTGGTTTCAAAAGATTATATATTTTTTACGAAATGAAATCAGTCGCATTATCAGTAAGAAGATGGCTCTGTGACATAACGTATTACTGTCCCAGTGTACGAGTGTTGGTTAAACTACACATTTTAGTGGTTAACGCGACACGACTAATAACGCTATCGACATTAAGTGTTCTAGATATTATTATCCATTTTACATGACTAAGATACACAGCTGTATACTAGAATTAAAATTCATTTCACGTTACCGAAGAAATTTCTGAAACAAAAGAATTTATAGGGACACTCAGAAACTGGTAGTTGTGAATTGTGATTCTTATTTGGTACAGTCTTTAAAATACTGAAGAAACATTACCTCTTCATTTTTATGAAGTAGTATCTTAATTTATTTAATCATTAGACGTTTAAAATTGATTTTTCTTTTAACATTTATTTAAACATCAAATTAGTCAGCACTTCCATCTCACCGAAACGTTGACCCATAGGCCTCTCTCTTGAGGACGAGGAGTGAGATGTTACTTTAGGTGTGGAGGTGAGAAGTGAATGTATAACAAAGTCCGAGTCTCTGTTCCATCGATCGTAGTACCAAAGAAGCCGGGATGATGGGCCCACTCATACGAATAAGAAACAGGGCAACATGTCCCTCATACGTCACGCTGTATACTAGAACCAGCAGTTAATCATTCCCGACAGCAGATCAACAACTTCACTATTTCCAAGTCTATATTCGGTGTCCATTCCTCGGCATCTCGTGTCCTTTCCGATATACTAACTGCAGTGAACGAACATAGCGGTATTCTGGGATGTATCACCGATTGACGTTTTATATGAACTTACTGCTTCGATTATCAGGGTGAACACTCTTACATGGTACTACTCGTACATCACAAAAACAACCATCATCACACTGGTCAACACGAGAACCTGAAAATTCACCTAATGTAAATGACATTTAGGAAGTCAGTGTTTTATTAAAATCAATGCCACAGTTTGACTTTTAGTTATATATCTGATATCTTTTTCCTATTTTTGGTATATGCATTTATTTTTCCATTGGTTCGGCAGCTAATCCCATCTTTTGGTGCATCCCCCCCCACACACACACACGTTCAGTTTCTGGGAGCAAACATTCTCTAGGTGTACACACACATATAAATATCTCGTCAGAGTATAATTCTCATGAGATTATATAAAATTCAAGACGCAGGACAGTAGTTGAACATGAACAGACTGTTTAGTGGGTAAAACCAAGATCTATAGCCCATAATATCCTTGGTACAAGCAAACATGCTTACTGGCGAATTACACCAAATCCCTGGACTTTAAAGCGTCTAGCAGAGTCATCCATAAAACACACACACACGCACACATACCACGGATAAACTCTCAGTATGTCGTGGTATTGTGTGTTTCAAAACGCAGGTTAACTATCCTTGAATTGTCGATTTTGGTCTTATAATAACCAGTTAATACATTAAATTATATATTGCAGTAAATAAGGATTTGTTACTGCGAACTGCATTATTACTTTGCGGTCAGAACGCTGGCCTTGTAATCCTGGGGTCTCGGGTTCGATTCCCGGCGGTGCCCGAATTTATAACTTGTGTTGGGCAAGGCCGTGGTCTAGGCAACACGGAGTTTTCCTCCGGGGGCTGTAAGTAATGTTCTAACATTTATTTTATCGCATTCTCCATGGGTAGACGTGGTTATTGTAGATAAAAGCAGCTGCAAACAACCATAAGCACGAATCAAACATATTATTGGGAATCACAATGTGTGTGTGCTTCCCATTATATTTACATTTTAAGCACTCTGAGAAGAATTCATAAGAATGCACGTAAAAAGCCCCAAACGTAGGTTATGTACGCATTTCGTCATGTACACACTGAAGCACTTATCAGAGCCTTAAAATGGCAAGGCGTTGGTGGCGAATGCACTTTGATTCCCGCTGAGAATTCCTGGCTTGCTGCTAAACGCGGGAATCCACGTCAGCATTCAGTTCACGTAGATGTGCTAAGCGGTGCTCATCAGGACGGGTGGAGGGGGTGACGTTATTGCTATCGTGTTACATGAGTAGTCAGAAGAACAACACAAATAACCGAAATTCCGACATCCTAAAAGCAGAAAACATCCCTCAGAACCTCTAAACTGTAAATGGTGCCGATGTCAACGATCGTAAGACGCTTGACGTCGTATAAATTCACATAAAGCGACAAAGCTAAGATCAAAGATCTAAGAATTTTAGAAAAATTAATTGGGTTTAACAAGAAAATAAATTAAATTAAATGTAATTATTCATATCAGTCGACTTTGGCGCATTATAAAAACTCTTCCTATAACTGAATACCGCAGGTTTCAAAACTACTTATTTATTTACTTACTCAACTGTTTAGGCTACTTATAGTCGTGTGTGGATCATGTTTAAATTACTATTTCGTCATTCACTTGTAAGGGATGAGGAAAACCACGAAAAAGCGTGGTGTTAGAAACAGATTATTTCACTTCATAAACACTGTGACCCACTGATGACCCCTCGCAAAGAAATCTTTTTTTATTGTATTCTTGGAGGTTACACAAAAGGCAAATTCTAAGTGCTTAAGAAGATGCTCGTTTTCATCACTGCACGTAGTGACAAGATCTGATGCTTTCGTTGCAGAGCGTTTGTTCGGCAAAGCATGGCGCGAAGAATGGGTTGTGCTGTACGAAGACTCTACACTGGCCTGGTTCAAAGAGAAAGGACGTCTGGAGCCAGAGGGCAGTCTCGTGGTGAAGGAGGCACCAGAGATGATGGCTGTCAGTCAGTGGACGCTGCGTATTCCGGGTCGCCCGGACCTTCCCAGTGGCTGTCATGTGGTCCAGCTCATGGCGTTCGGCACACGTCGGCGAGACAAAGTCCACTGGCTACTCGCTCAGTCCGAGGAGGAAGTCAAGTGAGTGTCACTGAAGGGGCAAACCAATGGCACACAGGGCAGGCAACGAAACATTCATCTTCTCCTCATTAATTCCTCACATTTCTTGTTATTGAACTTCACAGTCACCACTGTTCCCTGCTTTTTAAAGATACCGAAATCAGCTGAATTTCACGATGTAGTGTTCAGCATGACTGACTAAATATACGGCGTGTTCCGTCAACCGGAATGTTGAAAACTCTGAATGAGATTCTTCGCGAATTTTCTTTGTACCCTCCAGCGAACAATGATGGACTCAGATAGAAACAACTGAAGAACCTTCCATCATTTGCACCGCCTTATGAGTAGTAACACATTTAATATTGTCTTATATTTAACCCATCATGTCATTCATTCCTTATAATTCAAAATCACGTTATTATTTAACGCTTGCTAAACGATTCAGTTAACTACATATTATTATATAAATCAAGAAAAGTAATACGCATTTTTCAAATGACGTTCCAGCCTAAATCGGAGAAAACCCCGCCGATTAATAACAGAAGCAGCAATTCCACCTAATGACAATAAAGAATATATAAACACGTTCTAAAATTAAATGTAAATTTACCAAGAACTCCGGAACAAACCACGTATTAATATAATTAAGAGAGTAATAAGTGTATATTATGATAAGGCAGTAATAAGTTAGATCACATTCAATAACAGAACCAGGTTAAACGCTTTCAAAATTATGCTAGAAACTTTTGTAACGAGAACATACCATTAAACCTGTCTTAATCGCATGGACTTATGCAGCGTATCCAAAGCAGACTTTTTAGATTCTAGTCACGTGTTAAATGTTTACCTTTTAAAGCGAGCAAATTTTGATCTTTTAGAAATGAAGTTTTCTAAGAAAACAAGCTACAAGCAAACATCGCGGTTCTCAAACGTGTCCTGGTTAATATTAGACGCATAAAACTACGCGTGAACTCATACTGACTCGCAGATACTAGCGTTGTGTGACATATTCTCTCTCACCTTGGTTACACTCCGCCGTCCAATTTTATTGGACCATCAGTGCTTTAAATGAAGCTCAAATCGAACTTTATAAAAATATTCGAAAATAAAAAAAACAAACATCTAAACATAAATATAACTGATAATCGTTATTAACAACAGATCGCATTAGCATTGGTAAGATTGAAATCCCCTCTTTTGATGGTCTAAATCTACTCATTGGCAACCATTACTTTCCGCCTGATGTTAAACCTGAAGTTGTTGCTAATTACTTTCGATTTCTAGAAAACAATTTGGACACACAAAATTTTCGGGTTATTCTCATGGGTGATTTTAACACCCCTCGTTTTGACTGGAAGCGCGGTCTCCCTCTGGCTAACTGCCATTATTATTCGAAACTCAAGGGAGATGCCATCTACACCTCCGCGTGTCTTCTCGACCTCAGACAATGCATGGAAACTGTTGGCAGCAGTGGTCTCCTAGACCTTGTATTTACGAACTTCAGTGAGTTGGGTACTAGCTTTATTGATACTTTTATTGTAAAGCCGGATGTTTACCACCCACCTTTTGTTATTAATGTC